GAAATCTAAAAACAACAAAACCACAGACCCCACACAATACAGAACAATTACATGTCTTCCAACACTCTACAAATTATTGACATCCTGCATTGCAAACAAAATATACAAACATGTTGAAGAACACGACATTCTTACAGAACAAAAAAGATTGCCGTAGAAATCACATGGTATGCAAACAACAGTTACTCACAGATTCAGTCATTGTACGACAAGCACACAAACAACACAGAAACATACACATGGCATATATAGACTACAGAAAAGCATAAGACAGTGTTTCAAACAGTTGGCTTTTAAATATTTTACACATGTACAAAATACATCCATCACTCATTGCATTCTTCCAAAACACTAGGCAGCACTGGAGAACAACACTGCATATCAGGGTTAGTAACACTTTCAGACAAACAAACCAAACATTCATTAGTCGAGGAATTTTTCAAAAAGATTCCTTGAGTACTCTCTGGTTCGGCCTAGCCATGATCCCATTATCTAACATGTTATACAACATGCAATATGGCTACAATATCAGACATGAAAAGACAAGGCAGTTTACGCTGTCACATCTCATGTACATAGACAACATAAAACTTTATGCATCCACACAAAAACAACTTTATCAACTTCTACAAATCACACATTCATACACTAAAGACATGCAAATGCAAAACACTTCACATAGAAAAAGGAGTCCTGAAGAAAGAAGATTTTGCACTTGTAAATTGAGAATTTGTTGAATCCATGGAAGAGGGTGAATTCTACAAGTATTTAGGAATCCAACAGGCCAAACTAACAGAACATACCCAAATAAAGCAAAGATTAATTAAAGAATACAAAAGTAGGTTAAATGCTATCCTCAGAACACAGTTAAAACAATAAACACATATGTCATCCCAGTACTCACTTACTCTTTTCGCGTTATACATTGGACAGACACAGATCTTGAGCAACTCCAAAGGAAAACAAGAAGAACGCTTATTAAGCATAAACAACATCACCCTAAATTTTCCACAGAAAGATTAACCCTTCCACTAATAATGGCAGACATGGCCTGATTAGCATAATTAACGTTCACTACAAACAAATACAGACACTGCGAAAGTTTTTCTACAAAAAACAAGAAACATCACAGTTTCATAAAGCAGTAACTCTAGCAAACTTAAATAACACACCATTACACTCACGTCATACAGACTTGACACAACATATAAAAAGCATTGACACCATTAAGCAATCGTGGGCCCAAAAGGCACTCTATGGCAGGCATCCTTATGAGCTGGCCCAGGATTTTGTTGATAAAACTGCGTCAAACAGTTGGTTAGATTGGGGATTCTTCTTTGGAAAAACCGAAGGATTTATGATTGCCATACAAGATTAGGTCAAAAATAATAAAAAGTACAGAAAACACATACTCAAAGATACAACACTCACAAATGACATATGCAGAAAACGTCACATCATGCCAGAAACTATACAACACATCACTTCTGGTTGCAAGCTCTTGTCACAGAGAGTTAACTTACATAGATACAAGCAAGTAGCAAATATAATTCACCAAGAGCTTGCAAAGAAGCAGAAATTGGTAGACATCCACGAACCATACTACAAATATATTTTACAAACAGTATTGGAAAAGAACACACACAAAATGTACTATGACAGAGAGCCATAATCATTGATAAAACAATTTACTACAACAGACCAGACATCTCTCTCATTGACAAACACAATAAAATCACATACATTATAGACAGCCATTCCAAACACTCACAATGTACAAAACAAATGCACTGAAAAAATTACAAGTACACAGAACTCGCCCAGGAAATAAGGCATCTGTTGAGGTTAAAAAGGGTGCTTATTGTACCTCTTGTTCTCTCTTTTACAGGTGTGATACCATACACACTACACAAAAATCTGAGAACATTACATTCGAATTGAAATACATATTTCACACTACAGAGTGCCTGGATGGCCAAGCAGTGAAGGTAGCAGCACTCCCGCTCTAACAGACTTGGGTTTGAATCCAAACTGGTTGAAAAATCACCAGGAACATTTTGTGGGGTGGTCTGTTTGAATATGTCTGGCCCTGTCTCTCGCCACCTGGCAGTCCCACAGTGGGCGTGGCCGAACCCATAATGGGCTTGCAAAAAGAGGCCCACAGGGTGGAAAGGGTTAAAAAATTTTAAGTATGTTAGATTAGGCAATCTTACGTTAGATAATTTTAGTAAATATAAATCAAATATTAAAATATAATATAATAAAAGGGTTAGAAGTACGAATCGTAATCTTTGCTTTTATTTTTCTCTTGAGCAATGCCAGAGTTATATGCCGACACTAGTATAATTCTTAGTCGCATATAATTACCTGTTCAGATATAATTATGCAGAATTTTAGCTGTCCTCGATAAGAAAAATTTAAGTAATGCAGCTTTAGTCCCTTCAAAAAGTTATCTTTATCACGTTATAGAAACGACTTTTGTCTGAATACATATAGAATTATGACCAAACATTTTGCATGCTGCTCTAATTATTTACTTAGTAATTTCTGTAAATTCTGAAATTTGTTGTCATTCTTGTACGTTTCACAGCAGCATACATTCTTAAATACTCTCAATTTTTCTAGATACTCTGTTTGATCAATGATATGAAGATACACAGCTTGAATAAAATGTATTAAAACAATGAATAAGTCAATTTACACGATAATGCACAAGAAAAACATTTTATATGATCCATTTAAATATATATTTTTTCCAAATATATACTTTATATAAAATTTTGAGAAAAAACGACACTTACCTCAAAAAAAGAAAAAAACTAACATGTTTCTGAATACACTGACTTTAAGATATTGTAATAATTTAATCAATTATTCTAATTTTAAGGCTTCTCACACAGTAAATACAATATTACAAAAAATTTTTTTCTATATGTTATATTCAATTTTACAAAAAATAAGAAAATACAATGACTGAATTAAAAACTTATAAAATAGAATACACCTAAAACGGATATTTCGTATGTGCATTAGTTACTGGATAAAAAGATCTTTCTCCACTAACTCTTTGCAAAGGTGTACAATAGTAATTGTTTTTTGTGTAATCATAACGTAAATCCTTCAGAAGTCTCAATACTCTGTCCGTGGCTGAATTAATTATAAGAAAAATATAAATAAATAGAATATGTTGTACAGCACATATGATGAGATAAAATCAGTTGTTTTTATTGTGATGTCTCTGTGGTTATTTTATTTTTTTAATGTGACTTTTATGTATATTGTACTTTGTTATGTTTATAAAAACGACAAGTGCAGTGTGACTTCGGAAGAGTCCGAAATGCATATTAAATGTATTGTATGTTATAAGTTTTAAATTCAATTGTGAAAAAAAAATTGTACACTTAAATATTTAATAAACTAAAGAAATGTTTTGTAATATCATATTCACTAGTGTGATTAGCCCTAAAATTTAAGTAACTGATTAGGTTATCAGAAAAAAAGTAACTAAAGGGCGAAAAGCATATAAGAATACACTGTCCTTGATTTTTCCTATGAATGAAATTTTTTGCATTAATACAATAAACATTTACCAGAAATATAAATCGACATGTTTTCTACAATAATCAGGCTATTGCGGTAATTATTGTGTAGATACGTAATGGTGCAAACATAGGCAAAACATACCACATGAATATATTATAAGACTAGACTGTTATTTGAGCTCACAAAGTACAAATAGTGAAAGATAAAAATGATATTAATGCATGTGTGCCATTTGATGCACATTTTTAACTTCCATTTTGAAGGAACGAACTGCCAGAAAATAGTCGCAGGTTTTATGATTCAAATGTGAGTCGATAGGGAAATACTGTGAATTTGAATCCGTGAGAATTCGAATTTCAACGTAACAATTTAAAGTTGTAATATTAACTTTCACACCTGGGAATAAATCATTTTTTAAGTTCTCAGCAGTAAAAGAGACGTTTTCTCATAACATCCCGATTCACTATCTCGATTTCTGCAAGTCAATATAGCCCAAAACTGCGAGTTTAAGAAGATGTCGCCAGTCCCTCAACTAAATATCATTTCTAGTGTCTAATTTGGTGCCAACGGATGTACCTAGTTCTTGCAGATACTTCAGTTCCACAAATACTTCATCGTCTACGAATACGCATTTTGAAGACGAACTCTATCTCAGGAGACTAAGATACATTGCTATACTGTACGATCAAGAACAATCAAGAACACCTCCCAAGAACGAGCTTCAGACTACTTCCGAACATTATCATCTCAAGATATTTATCACCACGCACATCTCATGTAAACTCTCTCTCGCGACCACTTTCGTCTAAAGATCTCTTGAAGTTAAGGCCTAACGAACTGTAACAAAATTTTAAATTATATCATCTTATCTATGTAGTTAAATCGGCATCAGTTGTTAACTTGGTATTCGAGTGACTCACATTCGATAGGCTGTCTCTCAACCCATCTGCATCACAGATCTGATCGCTTGTGCATGCAGCCGCTCGCATGACCAAATCAACAGGACGTCTCGAATTCCGTATCGATCAGAACACGGTGGTGTCATTCTTGGCAAGGCATTAAAGAGATTCTGACTCTCTGGTCAGAAATCTATCATACAGTCACTCAGTAAAATTTGAGAGATTTTATTTTATTTTTCTGAAATCATTGGCAATATTTTAGTTGTCATTCTCATCGGATCATATTTTTTGTTATTAATGTCTTGGAATGTGTTTACAATACCAAACACATTAAGACGTACAGCAATTATGCCGTTCAACATAAAACAAATGCATTATACGTAGTGATACCGCAATAACAGACTACGTCCGATTAGTTTGTAATAAATGGGGAATCTCCTATACATAGCAGAAAATCTAACCACGTGTTTTCTAGACATTCATTATAAAAAGTCCTTGAACAAAACGACTCAGATATATTATATACATTAAAAGTATAAAATTTAAAATAATAGTTACCTTAATTTTGAATATACTTTGCTCGAAGCAATTTGTATCGGAATAAAGAGAAATATGGCCAAGTATCCTACTAAAATAGTCCATCCATAATATTTCCACAACATTGTTATGGTAACAATGATCAAGAATGGATTTGTAAATAAATATGGAAAGCATACAACATGCTGTAATAATTTAAAATGTTATATATATAAAATAAGTATTAATTAATTACATTATAATGAATGTCAATTAGAATATCATTCTTTTGAAAATCATAACATATATAAGGAACGAATGAAGTTTGCTTAATCTACTCTTCTTTTTACAGCAGAAGCTCGTTAATCTGGCTTTCACTCGATATACGTACCGTACATCCATTAGTTTTTGTTAACAATGTCGTG